TTAATAATTTATATTAATTAAAATATAATATAAATAAATAAAAAAACAGAAAATAAAATAAATAATATATATTAATTAATAATTTTCTTTAAATAATAATAAAATAAAAACTAATAATAACAAAAGGACAAAAAAAAACAAAAAATCATAAAACAAATCATTTGAAGGCTACTTAGGGGTGCCAATGGTAACCCATAGGGGTGCCATTAGCCTCCCCTTTTTTTTCACATGTGATAAAAAGCCCCATATCATTCATGAAAATTGATGGCATATTTTGATGTTATCACACTATTTTCGTACATTCCTCATCATTATCAGAACTGTTTGCAAAAAAATTGTCTTCAAAAAAACAATCTTGAGAAAAGCCACCGGAATCGTCGTTCGAATAACTCGATCATGTACAAGCTTCCTTACCAACAACATTCAAGTCCTCCATTCTAGATCGACAAAAATATGGATACTATGAACAATATGAAGAAAAGGAGATAAGAAAGTCGATTGTCAACATACCATGAACGATTTGGAGAAGAAAATGAGATAAGAAAACCAACCAAAGAAAAAATCGTGGATACGTGATCAATCAAAGGGATAATTATAATTAATTAAAATAAAATAAAAATTATATAAATTACTTAATTACATTACTGTTTTATTAATTTATTTATATTTAATATAAGTTAATTTATTAATTAAAAAAAACTGAGGTTATTCAATTATTCTCGCATTCTCATAGAGGTTATTGATTTGTCTTTTACTTGAGGTTTTTTTTTCTTTTATTTTGCGGGATGCCAATATTTTATACAATATTCTTTGATCCCCCTCACATATAATAAACTTAGAAAATTGTAGCCTATTTCTCCACTTAAATTTATTTTTTTATTTAATTATTATATTACATAATAAAATTAAATACCAATTTATTAAAAAAGTTAGGAATCAAACGTTTAAAGATTTATTACGTTACAAAATTAAATACATGCACTAAAATTTGGACTATAACCATTTTCTTAGTGACGAGAAGAAGCCAACACACAAACGTTTAAACGAACTCGACCCTTCTACGTTTGGTACTGGCATCGATTCATCTTCGCAGTCCTCCTCCATCCTCTTTCGTTTTCCACAATTGTCGTTCTTACATGACAGTGATCCTTCACTTGTAACTGTCTCCTGATAAAACAATGTAACTTGCATCTTTTTAATTTCTATAATAATAAAAATTCAAGTTAAAACCTCTAATGGGTCCCAATGAGGCACGTGTTAGTCACTAAATTTATAAAAACATGTAAAAGTGTCTTGTATAAACTTATTGTAGCACTTTTATATAGAAACTTACAGTTTTTGCTCCTGTGTAACTGTACAAATAACGTTTCCCAGGCCGATCATCCGTTTCCTGACGGATAATCGCTCTCGCCATTTCATGAACCAAATGATGCATTACGATCTTGTTATCTTTATCAATGCTTATAAGAGATCGATCCAAAAGATTCTGCATACCGATCTTGGAATAGAAATCGTTTTCCTCCATCTTTTGCACAGCATCATCCATGTCTTTTCCAACATAGGACCAAGCAATCATGAGAAACAACCGCTTATCGTGATCATCATGTAATGATTTGTAACTCACCTCTAACGTTTTTCGAATCCGTTCATCCGGGATTGATTCCAGTTTTTCTAAAGCAGATTCCCAAAACTCCGAGTTTCTGCCAAAAAGAGAAGAACCCATGATCTGAAGAGCTAAAGGGAGTCCTTCACAGTGTTGTACGACTCTATTTGAATGTTCCCGATACCCTTCTGTCGGGTAATCTTTAGAGAACGCATGCCAACAGAATAGCCGAAGAGATTCTTCATAATCCAGTTGTTTAATCCTAAATGATTTATGGTTTTCGTGACTTAAAAGTCGTTCACGAGATGTAGTTATGATGATCTTACTTCCGTTAACAAGCGAATCACCAAAACCTATCAAAGTATCGATCTGTTCAATCTGATCCACATCATCAAGTACGACTAGAATTTTTTTTCGACAAATAGCATCCTGAATTTTGACTATACCCTCATCGGTGTTGTATACTTTCTGTTTTTTTCCCTTTGAAATGTCCGAAAGGAGTTGATTTTGTAACCGAATTAAACCATTTGGTTGTTCAGAAGTTTCTCTTATATTTGCGAGAAAGCTGCTAGCTTCAAAATCGGCAAAATTGAAGTTGTAAGCGACTTTAGCAATCGTAGTTTTTCCGATCCCTCGCATCCCGCTAATCACTCCTATCGCGACATCTGCACCATCCTTTAACCACGAGTCAATGTCTCTGACTCGAGAGTCGATGCCCACTGTATATGGAGCAACAGCCAAGACCGTTCGTTTCAACATGATCCCGACTTCTTTTACGATTGTCTGGATGAATACTGCTTCATGCCTACAAATTGAAAGACACCCATGTAACCAAAATAGACATCTATTGGGGTTTTCTGATTTCAGTAAGTTACAAGGATTTATTTGTTCGATCTTAATAAGTGCAATGATTTACATGCTTTGATTGAACTTCCCCGAATTCTTTAAAGGCGGCATCATGTCATTTCTGGCAACTATAAGTTAGCTTATATTTTTGAGCTTATTGAAAAATCCTCGTATGATAAACTATTAGCTAACTTATTTGAAATGCTACTTGAAATAACTTATTCAGTTAATAACTATCATATAAGCTACTTTGCCAAACATAGCCTTCATGGGATACCTAAATCTGCTTCTACTGCAACATGGCAAATTCTTCTCAATTGGGAATTTTAGGATTTAGGGTTTAGTTTTCTTAGGGTTCATTTACCAAACAGTTAACCTGTAAGCACATTATCTTGTTTGGTGACCAAGGATCTGAATAGCAAGAGCAAGGACCAAGAACTTATCTGGTAAGTGAATAACGAATCTTACCCGGTTAGTGCTCACCGGATAAATTATTGCCCTTTTAATGGACTAAAACCGTAGTAAATTACATTGGCAGTAGTAAGGACCATGTACAAATCAAAATTGCAAAAAGAAAAAAAAAAGACGAATGGGGTTTAGAAGAAGTTTACCCATTAGATTCATCTTTCAACACTTTCCCTGTTAATTTAGAAACTTCCTTTAAGGCGTTCCTCCATTGCTCAATCTTCTTCTTGGACTGCTGACCACTCTCCTCGTACTTATCAAACGCTTCTTTGAAAACCCCATTCTGATTTCCGACCTCCGTGGGTTGCACATCATAGAAGATCGGGAAAACACTATAACGATCATCGGACCTTTTCCGTTCCAGAATGTTGAGAAGCTCATTAAGACACCATTTGGAAGAACCGTAGTGTTTGGAGAAAACAATAACTGAAATACTCGATTCTTTGATGGCTTTTTCAAGTTCCGGTAGGATTTGTTGGCCTTTCTGGATCTCCTCGTCGTCTCGGAAAGTATGGAATCCGGCGTTGCATAAGGCCGTGTAGAGGTGATCGGTGAAGTTTTTCCGGGTGTCTGCACCTCGGAAACTGAGGAAGATGTGGTAAGTGGAAGAGGGAAGTTGGGTTTCCATAATTGAAGGTTACAGATGGAAGGAAGGAAAGGGTGATTTTGAAAATCGATCTCAAATCAAAACCAACAGAAAATTGAGTCCCAAATTGAAGATCCAAATGAGATACTAATTGAAATATGAAGCAAACGAAATCAAAATGGAAACTGATAGTGGTATTCCTAGCAAACTGGTGTGGATTTCGCTGCAACTTCTTCGGTAGGAGACGCGTTGACCGGAAAATGTTGGCGTGAGTCACGCGAGATTGTGGAATAATGGGTATTACTTAGGATTATTGTATCTTGTAAATTTCTTTTTATTTATATCAACTAGTGTTTGACACCGCACGTTGCACGATGAAAATAAAAATTTTAAAAATTTATTGAAGTTAGCTAAATGAGTCGATGATCACATTTATATATTAAACTAATAAGAATCAATATTACTTTTGATATATGAATCTAACGTATCATTATTTGTTGTTCTTTTAATATATATATATATATATATATATAATTAATAAGTCTTGTATATCAATATTTTATTATGTCAAACTTTCTAATTGGTTCAAAATCATAAAAAAAATGTGAAAATATTGATTATAATCATGAGGTGTATTAAGATAATTATTTTATCATTATACATATCAATTTATCTTCTACATATATTCTCATAAAATATTTATATTCATCAAGCAAATACTGTGTTGTTATTTACATTGACATAATTGTTGAATATCTTTACAATTTGTTTATATTAGTTTATGATATACTCATTTGCARCATTGGTCAAAAACCTCATTGAAATCCTTTTTTTCCTACATGCGAATGCATAAAGTGACAATAATARCGAGTATTATGATCATTCTAGAAATATAAGAGTTTGATTGATTTGTTATTTTTTCATTTGACTTGTTTAAGTTTTTTAGGTTTGTTTTATACAGTTCATAGTTTAGTTTCAGTATAAAAAAATCCTGAAAATGGTTTTAATAAAATTATGTAAAATAAAATATATGTATTATATTGATTCCAATGTTAATTATATGTAGAGTTTGATTTTAGCTTAAATAAAAAATTAATTTAAATATATATA